AATGCAAGAGAGCCACAAGCCAAGAGAGTGAAATCCTTTGTTTGTGGGATTATGTATTCCCAAATTTACTAGGGTTTGCAATGGCCCTGCCTACTCTAGCCAATGTTCTCTGTTTCCAGGTTTGACTGACAGGTACCTTCCCTAGTCACCCCAGCTTTACTGCACATGTGCCTATCTCCCCAATTGTCCCAGTCCCTTCCCTCAGTAATCTGCAGGGAATGGGCCGGTTGTTTCCTGGGGGGTGTGAAGTTGCAGCTTCCTGGTGAAGCTGCCCAAATGACATGCCTATAATGTCTGGCCTCCCTTTTGTTCCTTTCCTATTATTAATAACTAACTAATTACAATGGTGTTAACGTAAAATAACCATTGAAACCTGTAAAGAATTTTTGTGAGTTTATTTGAGCCAAACTGTCGACATATGCCGGGAAGCAGAACCTCAACGAATTGAGATAGTGCTCCGGAGAATGGCAGGGTTACATCTGTATTTATACATTGCCATCAAAGGAGGAACATAGGTGGGTTACATGAAATTCATTGGTGACAGATTTAAGGAGGTGGGATTAAGCAAAGCGGGGGGGGGGGGGGGGGGAACCTCTGGGATAGGATAAAAAGTAAAATGATGGACACATACTTAGGTGGGTGCAGGAACAATTAACATGATGATGAAGGAATTTGTGATATCTGTCCTGGGCCCGGCACACCTGGCTGTGCCCCAGGGGCTCCATAAAAAGGGAAGTCACAAGTTACCCAGACATCCCAAGGATATGTTATCATAGATGCAAAAAGACAGATGGGCTCAGTTGACCTTATCAGTGAAGATACTGGCCTAGGACGTAACTGCCCACCATAACTGCTTTTAGTTAAAGTTTAATTTCAGACCATCCTTTGTGGTTACTTTAGGTCTCTGAGTCTGCAAGACTGCTATGCAGGCCTTTCCTGAGCTTGTCAGGTCAGCATGTGGCCCCTTTCATCCACAATGGTATCAAATAGACTCCTCAAATGGATGTGGGGAAACTTAAGGGAGGAAAATTGATAGACTGCCTCAGGGCTTCCCTTATGTGAAGATAGTGCCACTGATTACCAGAGTCTAGATTTGTTTTTCCTGGTACTAAGAAGTGTAGGATTTTTCTCCAGGAACATTCAATTGTAGGGCAGAAGCAAGTAAGGGCTACGGCAGTGGTTCTCAACCTTTCTAATGCCATGACCCTTTAATACAGTTCCTCATGTTGTGGTGACCCCCAATTTCATTGTTACAAATTGAACATAATTAAAGCATAGTGATTAATCACAAAATCAATATGTAATTATATATGTGTTTTCCGATGGTCTTAGGCAACCCCTGTGAAAGGGTCATTCGACCCCCAAAGGGGTCGCGACCCACAGGTTGAGAACCACTGGGCTACAGAGTTTTAAGCCAACAATAAAAGGATAATGAGGCCAGTGAATCCAGGCTTATAAAGTGTTTGAAGATAATTAATTCCAAGTAAGGAGGAAATCCAGCATGTCAACAATAGGGTCATTAATCTTGACAAAGGGAGTAAAACAAGATTCAAGAGAAGAAAGAATTATGGAAGAAATGACAGATAAGGAGAAGAGGAGGTGCTGCACACAGATCTCGAAGGAGAACATGCTGATAAATGTTCATCCTTGTAATTGAATAGTATATTGAATGAAAACGGAAGGGCCACCAAGGGAGTTGAATTATTGCAGGGTCCTAACAATTATAGCAGCATCAGTTACCATTCATTGAATGCTTGTTATGTCCTAGGTACTATGCTAAATTCTTTACTTGCACTCTCTTACGTAATCCTCACATAAACCCTATGAGGTAGATAATATTATCCCCTTTTTCTGGAAGATGAAAATGAGGCCTGGAGAAGTTGTGTAAGGGACAGGCAAGTGGCAGAACTGGGATTCCCACCCAGCTCTCCCATGTTTTCAACCCAGAGCACTTAACCATTGCCATGCATGCAAAAGTTACAGTAAATAGCAATTCTATAGTATTGCTTCTATTCATACCTGAAGATGTTTGTTTTTTAAAAATACATAGATGTGGGAAAATAGGAGTGTCACATCTTTAATAAACTTATTAAAAATTTTCCTAGTATTTATGGGCCTGTTTTTCTTAAGAACACACCATCCTATATAATAAAACCCTAATATGCAAATGGACCGAACAGCGGAACAACTGGCAGAATGACCAGTCACTGTGACGCGCACTGACCACCAGGGGGCAGAAGCTCAATGCAGGAGCTGCCCCCTGGTGGTCAGTGTGCTCCCACAAGGGGATTGCCACTCAGCCAGAAGCCGGGCTCACGCCTCCACTGCAGGCAAGTGGTAAGGAGTGAGGGGTCCCAGACTGCAAGAGCCCTGGACTGCAAGAGGGATGTCTGACTGCCGGCTTAGGCCCGATCCCCCGGGGGGCGACCGGGCCTAAGCTGGCAGGCGGACATCCCCTGAGGGGTCCTGGACTGCGAGAGGGCGTAGTCTGAGCTGTTGGGACACCCCCCCCCCCCCAGTGCACGAATTTCATGCACTGGGCCTCTAGCTTATTAAATAAACACCATCTTATCCAACTGTTGTCTTAGGCTAGGAACTTTAAGTCAGAGTGCCTATATGTGTAAGCAGAGTAACTGAGCACGTTGGGCTTTATTTGTGGTAGTTCTCCTGTGGTGTGTGCCCAACTATTAGATAGGTCAGAGGTTCCTGTGTTCTGGGGTCTTCCCTATGCACTGGCATGCATGTTGGGCTGGCCTGGGAGACTCAGCTGCCCCATATGCTGGCTTCACTTTGGTTGCACTGATGGATCTGCTCCCTGAAAGTCTGGGTGGCAGAAGGAAAGAGGCAAAGAACCGCCTGTGGCTTCTGGCTCCTTTCCTGCAGTTGGGGGAGTAATGAAGGAAATTGGACAGGTCAGAAAGCCCTCTGAGGCCTTTCTGAAGCTCCCAGGATCGGTAACCCTGTGAGATCTAGGCCACCAAATTTCTCCACCTCTTCTGCTGGGGGCACTTCAGGACTGAGGGGCACAAACCCAGCCTTTTTTTTCCTTATTCCTTCAAGTCGTTCTCCAGCCCCTTCTACAGAAAGGAAGGGACTGCAATTGCTTAACTTTTCTGTTCCCCACAAACTTTCTGAACACAGTTTCATAAGTACCACATGCCATAAAGTGTCACCTGGACTCCCTGAATGAATAACCCAAGGATCTTCAGAATAACCCAAGCTTTCTTAGAAAAGTTTTCTTGATTCTCTTGCTTATCCTTCCCACTGCTGACTCCAGAGAGTCACCTTCATGCATAAAAGTGACAGAAATTACAGTCACTTTGTGGAAACCCCCTCTTTTTTACTAACTATGCCCAAACACAGCACAATAAAATGACTATGCTGTCATTAAATACACCTTATAAACTTTTTGGTAAGGTTTACTTGATTGTGACACTGAAGTCAGTGTGTGGATGCTGAAGCATCCTACTTATGCTCCACCAGTGTGGCTGGCCACTCACAATTAAAAACCCGGAGGAGACTCTGTAACAGCCACAGGTGACTCTCATTCAAGCATTTGGTTTTGCCACTGTTCTTGTCATGTCTGCTGGTGCATGTCTTTTTTTTGAGGAGCTCACAAGCTGACCCTTTTGTGAGAGTTTGGTCAAGACAACATGGAATGGATCATTTGGTCATGAGAATAGCAAGTCAGTGAGTAGAGATTAAAACCGGTTAAGATGGATGCTGTCTTAACTATACCAGGTTTAATTTTGTTGTGTGGATTATATCCTGTTTGCCTTGCAGAATGTACCTAAGCCTGGACACAAGAGAACAGACTCCACCCACAGCAGCAATGAGTCTGAATATACCTTTAGCACCGAAATTGCAGAAACTGAAGACATTCCATTGAGGACAGAGGTACACTTTGTTTTGTTTTATTTTATTTATTCATTTATTTATATTAATTTTAGAGAGAGGAAAGGAGAGAGAGAGAGAGAGAGAGAGAGAGAGAGAGAGAGAGAGAGAGAGAAAGAGAATCTATGTGAGAGAGTTGTAGAATTTCCACTCAGCCAGCTTTCCTGTGGTTCTGGATGATGTCCGTTTTGTCTTTTAGTTGTAGTTTTGAAGTGGTTGTGCGAGGCAGCAATTTCAGGTGTTTACCTATGCCGCCATCTTGGTTTCTCCTCTGTTTCATTCTTTTTAACAGCTATAAAGTATGTCATAATTTGGCTCTACCATAATTTATTTAAAAATAATCCCATTAACTAATATTTGGGTTCTTTGCAGTTTTTTGCAATTACAAAAATAATGCTGCAATGAACATCTTTTTCCATATATTTTTGTGTACTTGTGTAAGTAGTATATCTGTGGGATTAATTCTTAAACATAGATTGCTAGCTTAAAGGGTATCACACGTTTAAATTTTAATAGATATAACTAACTTGCTCTTTTAAAAGGCCTACTTTTACTTCCACTAACATCATATCATGTAAGACCCTTTTACCAAAACATGGCATTATAAATCTTTCCAGTCTTTGCCAATCTAATAGGGGAAAAATAATACCTCACTGTTGTTTAATTTGCCTTTCTCCTATTAGCTAGGTTGACCTATTACATGTATACTCTTTGGTCCTTTATATTTTTTTGTAAGTTTGCCTATTTTTTTTCTGTTGGGCTGTGCATCATTTTCTCATTGACTTATACATCTTCTGGATTGTCTTGACCGTCTTATTTTTTCTGGGGATTAGGAGCCAAGTGAGAAGAAGGTACCACTGGACATGTCACTGTTCCTCAAGCTCCAGAAGCGGGTCACGGAGCTGGAGCAGGAGAAGCAGGTGATGCAGGATGAGCTGGACCGCAAGGAGGAGCAGGTGCTCCGCAGCAAGGCAAAGGTGCGCACTGCTGTCCACCCCAGGGCCGCGGGCAGACCCAGCACTGAGGCTGGGACTTTATATCCAGTTCTGCAGTTTCTTCTTAATGGAAGCCCAGCCCAGAAGTACTTTAACCAAGTAGGATTTGGTTCAAGTAGTGAGGGCTGACCTCTCCTCACTGTTTTCTGCAGAGCAAGGAAATATTCTAAGAGTAAAAAATGTAACAATTAAAATATAACTACTTGTTCATAAAATTTCTAATTTATCTCTTCCTTAGGAAGAAGAACGGCCACAAATTAGAGGTGCAGAACTGGAATATGAGTCACTCAAGGTAATGGAATATTTCTGCCCAAGACCCGAAATAGAGATCTGCTGAGAGCCTCTCTTTTTCTCAGAGAATATGTTTCAGGGCACTGGAGGCCCTAGCTTAAGTTTTATGCAGGCTTTACTTCTAGCCTTGTATTACTTCCTTTTATAGGTTCTATTCTGTACAAAATGGAGTTCAGTCTAAATAGAAACAGGACCAGTAGCTAAAATTTGAGGCTGTAGAAGGTAGTAAAGGACATGGACTCTAGCATCTGCCTGGGTTCAGATGCTAAATCCACCACTATATGGCTGTGTGCAAGTCATGTATCCTTCCTGTGCCTCCGTTTTCTATAATATGGGCATATTGATAATATTTATCTTATAGGACTCTTATGAGGATTATGTGAACTAATCCATGTAAATTGGTTAGAATAGTGCTCAGTGCTGTTTTTAATAGTATCCAACAAATGTTGGCTATTATCATTATCATCATTTTTAAAATACAGGTATTTTATGTATCAGCTCTAATTCTTACAACAGTCCTGCAAGTCAATATTTTAGTTCCCATTTTATAGATAAGAAAATCAAAGCTAAGAGATATAAATAACTCCCCTAAGCTCACCCCACTGGAAACTTACAAGAAACAGGATTTGAACATTGGTATCTCTGGCTTCAAACCCCCAAACCCCACTGAAACTATGTGTTTGTAGAGAAAGACTGCTAGGCATTAGTTTGTAGAGTAGAACCATACTCTAACTTATTTTTTTAAAAACAACTACAACAGTTGGGAGGAAGGGGATAAAGGTGGGAAATTGTATCTTCTTAATGTTTAAAGGCAATGTCTAACTGGACAGTAATAAGCTGCCACTGTGTGTCCCAGAGCACTCGGACAAGGCGACTGGCACTGGATTGGGAGCAGTAGTTCCTGGCATACAAAGCACCTTGGTAACACAGGAGTTGAAGTTTAGGGGTGGGTGGGGAAGAATCCATTCCTTGATAGAGAGCAGGCTGTGTCTCCCCCTTTCACCCCCCCTGCCCCCCCCCCCCACACACACACACACCTGCTCCCAGCCCCAGCCCCAGCCTCTCTGGTTTCCAGAATGAGAACCTTTTGAGCCCTGCAGTGTCTGAGCTATCAAGCTGACAGCTCTCAAAACACCCCAGCTTCAGAAGTTTTCTAGATTGTTAATTAATATTTTCATCTTAAATTTATTTTTCTCAGATATTTTCTGCCTATGTCAAATTTTTACTATTTTCTGCTTTTTTAAATTATAGTCTAGGGTGGAAAATTATAGTAAGGTTTATGATTAAAACAAAACTAAAAGTGAGAAAAGCCACAAAATAGCATAAGGAAACTCATTATTTTAAAGGCTTTATGTATATTTGAGATTTCCTAGGGTCTCTCTAAGCTGTCCTGAATATTTTTTCTTTA